ACACACCTGACTGACCAGCAGACAAAACACGCATTACACAACACTCCTGGATTAATATCTGTCTGTAGGTTGTAGTAGTGGTGGTCATGTATCTTGTGCTATTGCTGCACAAAAAAAAACTGCAAACACAGCATTGCACAAGTTGCCAGTGACTTAAAACGTAGGCTTCTGTGTCAGTGGGGTCGACCCATGCTGTCCCCCAAACCTCCAGCAGTGCACCTGATTCCATCTAATCCTCTCCTGCCTCTCTTGCTTTATCTCGTTCACAAGCAGTCTTCTGCTCCGTTATCTCCTCAGTCCTGCTGCTCTCCTGCAAGTTTAAAAGGACAGGTTAGAGGGCAGAGGATGTTTATGTGTTAGCGCAACCCACAACTACACTATTTTTAGTTCACCAATTAAGTTAGAAAACTCTTTCAAGCTTCGGCTGCTTGCTTTCCAATGTTGAAAGTGCATTACCAGCCCACTTAGATGTTACACCTTTAGAGTAAAGCCGTTTTTTAGCTTTCAGTTCAAATGAAACATGCAATATTCATGAAGGGGCCAAAGTCAGCCCGCTGTGGCTCATTTATAGACAGAGGACTACTTTTGATTGTCTTGTAGCGCAATGATGGTGCCTTTGCATGGCTGATTGATAGATGGGGATGCACTGAAACCTATTGGTTCCAGGCGACATTGTTTATTAAGCAGAACAAATTGTGAAAGCTTGCTACATCTGCCCCCCTTAGGCAACTCTCTCACTCCTCGCTCAGTCTGAGATGTTCTCCCCAGCTCTGTCTCTCTGCTAAGAATGAATAATGCATGTTCTTCTCACACAGATTGTTTTGCTCGGGGACTAAGTGGAAAGTTTGATTGGTAGTAAGTTTTTGTGTCCCTTGGGGCCCCCAGGAGAGGCCTACAGTGCTGCGCTTGTGTGTAGCCAAGAGATGCTGCGGATAATTGCAAGGGTTCTGATAGAGTTGTTTGTGTCTCTCATACCTATTACCTTGATTAGGTAGGAGGTTTTTCCAACATGTACAATGGGTGGCTAAGACTCTAAAGGGAGAGGAAAGTGGAATAAATGTGAAAGACCTATAAGGCCTCGATTGAAAGGCAAATAGAAGCAGGTGACAGGTGATGAAACTGCATAAGAAATAGAACCCCTTGTGTGTTTGCATGGCGCTAATGAGGTATGGGTGATGCCTACGTTTCTCATAATCAGGGAATCCTTTTCCCAGTGCTCTGCACAGCGACATCTTGCAGAGCATTTTCCTGCTCGTTTTCACCACGGAAATTTGCAAGATGAAAGCTGCTGGGTTTTGGAGTGGGTATTGTGGCAGATGGTTGGAGATTATTGTAATCACTTTAATGACATGGCTCCTCTGCTTCCCTGTCATTCGATTAAGATCAACAGCACTCAATAACCACTCAAGAATATATACAAACACTGTAATAAGTGTACAATTTACATTTTGACTGACAGCATACGGTACATCAGGAATTGACACACATCAATACTTGAATGTATTTCATTCCTTATGTTCAGCAGAAAGAGATATATGCTCACGCTCCTCGCATTCTTAATATTTGTTGATCCAGTATGAGAAATATTTCCCTTGTGAGGGACTGCACTAACCACAATGCATGTTTGATGTAGTTAATAAATAAATCTGTTGAATGCAAAAGCAGAGAATGAGAATCTCCTTTCCTGCCACCAAGTGAGGCAAGGAAACATGGATTGATGTGGTGTTCCCAAGAAAATATTGAGCCTGTCTCCACTACACCTCAATAAGAGATTTGAGATGTGCACATACTGTACAACAGCCAGATACACATATATTATTCAAAGTGTGGAGGAATTAATAGCTGGTGGAGAGTTTAAAATTCTATACAGCCAGCTTTTTGTTTGAAATAAGTTAATAGACAAAACAATGCAGATACAATAGCACCTTAAAACTTAATGCAAATGTGACCTCCAAAAGTGGTACATTTTGGTGGCATGGAAAGAGAAGTGTTGATTCACCTCATACGAATAATATGTCGGCCGTCTGTGGTGATGATGAATTGGATGACATATATTTTTTTCTTTATTAAATTTAGTTTTTTGTTACCTAACCTTGAAACTACTTCACATTACATTTAAGCACTGAGTTTAGTTAGCACCACTTTGACTCAAGCACATTTACCTGGAGCCTTATATTCCAATTATAATCTTTTTTTGTAATTCACTCTCATCTTAACACTTAGAAATATCAGTAAACAAAGACCTAAAGATATTGAACCAATTTTAATTGATTGCAGAAGGGAAGCGTTAACCTTGACATAAACTCTTCAAAAGAAAATCTCAAAAGAAAACAATTTATTTTCCTGGCTTGAGATTTTGTTTGCATGCTGTCCATGCAGGACCTTGTGGTGTTGGAAAAACATTTTTTTGCAAGCTGTTGTTTGAATAAGAGAAGCACAATAATGGCAATTACAACTACACACAGTTGGTGGATAGCCATCTCAAGGGAGCTGATCAAACATGTGCACTGAGATGCTTTTGAATAGGTTGGTGCTGAAAGGTTGTCCTTGATGAAGACAAAAAAGTTGATGCAATATTCATTTTTGCACCTGTCTATCATCCTGATTGATTAAATGTATTATTGATATCAACAATGGACCACAATGGATCACATCCCTTGCTAACAGTGACCTTATCTTTATGTTGAATATTTTCTAACAGAATAAAAAATAAATGCAGAAAACCTCAAATACACTCTCATGTCGCATATTCAGGCGCATTGAACTGCACAGGAGTTTGTGGTATTGCGTACATCACTTGAATGTCTTCACGGATTAACTACTTACCATTGAGTCTGATCATCGTGGCCACATATCTCCATTCTGTCTCTCTCCAGAGACAAGCCAGCCATCCAGCAAGCCAACAAGGCAGTCAACCAGCCTCTAATGCTCTAGCGTGTTTGGCTTAGTCCTAATCCCCCTTGGCTCACTTTAGCCATTATCCAGGCAGGGCTGCAGTTAACAGGCTATATTATGATCAACCAGAGCCATCCAGGGTCAAAAAGAATATGCAGTTATGGGAATTGACAGCTCCAAAGCTTTTCATTTTTTGTATGAGGTATGCTAGGCCTCTCCAGTTCTTCACATGTTCTACCAAATTACTGAAAAACATGAGAAGAGAGGTGAAGTCATAGTCATCTGCCTTGGCCTGACACTAAGAGACACAATACCGCCTATTCACAGTTAAACCGGCATTTGTATAATGTAATGAAGGTGTGGAATATTTCAATGCAAGGACTGTGGGGTTTGAAAGAGGATTGAGGGTTTAAGGTAGATTAAATGCAGCAGCAGGAGATGAATGTCTTCCTTTGGGGTTTGCATTCAGAACATGTCATGAACTGTGTATTGTGTAGGCATGCAATCGCAAATGATTAAATGGACTCCTGTGCTACCTACCAGTTCCTGTCTCTTTGGGTGCACTCTGTAAATGTTGTCCATGATTGTTTCCTTAATGATGATTGACTTGGTCCTACCTGACAGTACTCCAAATCAGAGATGCAGCCATAGCATTGCAGGGATGAATACAATATAAAATGGCACTTATTGTTTTTTTGTTTTGCATGCAGAAACACAAATGTTAATTGTGTGTTTGCATCTTTTGCAGGGAACTGATGCCCAAGTCTTCAGATGGCCAGTTGACCATGGAGAAAACCCCCAGCTACTACGTCACCAAGGAGGTCCCAGCTCGAATCTACACTATGTCCAAAGACACAAAGCTGATTGTAGTGGTCAGGGATCCCGTCACTCGGGCCATCTCTGACTACACCCAAACACGCTCCAAGAAGCCGGATATCCCTTCTTTTGAGAGCCTGACCTTCAAAACATCTCAGCAGGTTTGATCGACACCACATGGAGCGCCGTTCAAATCGGCATGTACGCAAAGCACCTCGAGCGCTGGCTTCAGTACTTCCCCATGGAGCAACTACTGTTTGTTAGCGGAGAGCACCTGATAAGCGACCCTGCAGGTGAGATGGCACGCGTCCAGGACTTTCTTGGGCTCAGGAGGGTAGTCACGGAGAAGCATTTCCACTTTAATCCAGCAAAAGGCTTCCCATGCCTTAAGAGACCCGAGGGGAACAGCAAGCCACACTGCCTAGGAAAAACCAAAGGCAGGACCCATCCTAATATTGACCCAGAGGTGGTGCAGAAGCTAAGGGACTTTTATAAACCCTTTAACAGCAAGTTCTACCACATGACGGGTCATGACTTTGGCTGGGATTAAGAGAAAACCAATGATGATGGACTGATGCCGCTCCCTTGTCCTTGTTTTTTTTTATAATTCTATCACTCTGGAGATATTGTTATACAGTGTATGTACAGTATTTGGTGGATGTGTAAAAATTCAGAAGTCTATTTTATGATAATTTATTGTTATGATATTAACTCACTAAGCTGCCTAACCAGGTTTACCCATGATCTAGACTTTCTGCTCCAGATTAAATTCTCATCAGGTATATGAACATTTTTCTAAAAGCACAATGTTTTTACGGGTATTTTGAGCAGGGTCAGTATCTCTTTTTTTTCCCAGCGGAATATTTTTATGTCTTCATTTTGGATAACCACGTCTCCTCCTTTTGCTTTTCCAAAAGCCTCTACCTTAAAATCTGAATGGATCCAACTTTACAAGCAACTGGTAATATCCCCTTAACATTTGCTTGACCCTCAGAGGTCTGTGGACCCACTTAGGGAGGTCGATAAAGGCCTCAGCTGATCCAGTGCCACTTGCCAGGTGGATCAATACAGTAATAGCTCCTCATCATGTCAATTAGACCTGAGTGATGGCACTGCCTTGATCTCTCGAGCATTGCAATAAAACATGGATGCATTAATGGTAGTAACTTTATGGTTAACCCTTGAGCCAACTTCAGGTTAATATAATGATACAAATTTCCACTGCAATATTTAGAGTTAACCACTATTTATACCGTTGTTACAGAGGAATGTTGTTTAGGATCCAATCAGAGAGAGAGAGAGTCAAGTCAAGATACTTTTTTTCCAAAAACCTGCTGTTTTGGCTTCAGAGCACCTAATAATTTATGTCTCATTCCAAAAAGAACTCATATAGCTTAATGACATTCATACATTTGGCTCTCATGGATAATACTTTACAGATTTGTTTTGACAGGTCATAGTAAATGTTTTAATCCTACCCTCAACCCGGACACATCACCTGATGAGAAAAGCAATTCTCTATATCTTTGGAGCGTACTTTAAGTAGTAGCTGAAGGGAATAGAAATAAACGTACCTTGGGCCAAAAAATCCTCCTTTTAGTTTCATGAACGGTTGAGTTTTATTCAACCTTAACAAACACCTATCGTCAGCATTTTAACAGACATCATTCTACAATGATGTTGTGCGACCCCGCTGTTGTAGAGGCACTATTTTTGCTGTATGCATTGCTTTACAAATATGGAAATTAAGCAGGTTTGACTGAGAAGTTGAATAAAATGCAGTCATGTCGTTTTTATGAAGAAAATAAATAAATATGTCTTACCAAAATCATTGATGGTCTCTCATCTATGACTGTTAAATAAATGTTTTTAATGCATTTTCTATGTATACCAAAGTAACATGTTTTACGCCCCCACCTCACCTGTGTTGAGTTCTTGATCCCTGCAGAAGTAAGTAGGTGTACTGCTGTGCCTAATTAACCATATTGCTCCTCATTGTACTAACCGGCTAATTAACTACTTTTAGCTGTCGTAGCCTCCCCACCCCTTGGTGCCACACATGAGACCTACGAGAGAGTTTTGTTGCCATGACCTCCACAAACACATAACATAGTCTCAGGTTCCCCATCTGTAGAGAAATGACATGTGAAAAATGCTGGCACAATTTAACGTGAGGTCGGGTTTCACAGCCTCTTTTTAAATGGGTGTAAGTGGTTGTAAACACGAGGCACCTCTTCTTGTTTGTGTTTTTGAGGCATGAATTGAAGATAAGGTCATATTTTATGCTGATGATACAATATTGTAACATAGCCTACTCATTTGTTTACATACAAGAAACATCAATCTGTCTATAGAGTGGTGAAGTCATGACTAATTTCACCCAAGCACAAGTCAGTATTTTTGCAACTGGTTCTCTGATCCTAAAAGGAAAGGGGGATTGGAAGGGTTTTTGGTAAAATGCCGGAAAAAGATAGTGATCAACATGAACCCTTAGGGTAGGTTTTGGTATTTTGTGCTGCAAAAGAAAATGTAAGTCAAAACACCACTTGCTAATTTTGAAGCGTGTACGTTTCTTGGAAAGTCAGTTGCTAATGTGAAGCTAATGTTAGCTTTTTGCTTCTGGCAATTGCATTCACAATTCAAAAATTGTGAAGAGCCCAGTTGTTGAACAAAGATGTAGATATAATAAATAACATAAATGTTTAATTGCTGACAAATCTATAATCTGGTGGAAAATTCCCTGGGGAAACCAGGGTGATGCTAACTTCCGAGTGGCTAACAAATGTCATTGTATGTCATCCTTGCGGCACTCTATCTTCCTGCCATATTTTAGTGAGGCACTACAGGTTGTGTATGCACTTGCCTCAAGCAACCTGTCCCATCCATCATGCAGCTCAGCTAACCCCACGGAAGAAGGTTATGGTTCAAGCCATATATGAATCATCCAGCTCTATTAACGAACAACCTTTATTTAACTCTGCAGACAAACACCCTCATTTACCTGCGCTGCTAGAGGTGATGAAGCCGATCTCCCTGGTGGCAGGCTAGCAGTCTGAGCACTCAGGAAGCAGCTCCCTTTGCAATTACAGGGATAGAGGAGGGGTGCTGTAATTGCTAGGCTCCCAACTGGGGAATTGCTGTTAGCACACATCCCTGCAGGCTGTTGTAAAGACGGCTGCTGTTGTTTGAAGGTTAAGAAGACAGAGAAAATAGACACCTGGCAGCCCAGCGCTTCAAGCGACTTCACACATCCACTTGGCAGCTACCTTAGGGGAATAAAATCAGAGCTGCTGCATAAAAGTGAAACAAAACAAAACATCATACATCAGTCGACTGTTTGGTTTCGGGTACACATCCACCATCTCTGGAGTTTGGGTGCTGGAAGCAGGATAAACTGCAGCCTCATTATATATCAATGTGAAAAACTGTCAGTCATGCCTAGGTTTCGCCTGTGCCTGCAGAAATTATTGTCATTCACTCTCAGTCATCCAATCATTCACTGCATTTAATTTCAATTTGATTGTGAGGCTGAGTCGCACCTGTCAAGTGTCATGCTCCAAAATCAGCTTGTGGGGTCAAAAGTTTTGTCTCTGTGTGACATTAGATGCAACAACTTGGAGAAAGAGAAGAGCCAAGCCAAAACCAAATCTATCTTGTAACATAGTGTTTGCCTCAGGCTGTACGGAAACATAGCAAAATAAACAGGAAACCAAGGGCACTTATACTCTCATACTGTCAAACATCTGCTCTCAGCAACCTTTTTTTAAGTAATGTTTTGGGAATATTTCTGCCTTTATTTCAGGAATGACAGACGTATAAAATAATAATTTAGAAAGAAGAATCAGTCTTTTCTCTGATGGCCACTTTTGCTCTTATAGCTCATAAAGACAGATCAGTATTCATTTCAATCTGTTTCATTATAAGGCAAAATGTCCTCACAGGAGCTTTAAAGGATTGCACAATTCTGCTGAGTCATCGACAAGTGGAAATGTCCTGAAGCTGCTGAAGCCTCTTGAAATACATGATGGATCCATCTTCATGCAAAGTAAAAGCAAATCTTCAGGCATTTTAGAAAAGTTCAGAGTGCCAGAGTCATGGAGGAAAACAACAGGGAGATAATCATTATGAGGTTCACTTTGTTTTAGAGGTTAATAAGACAATTGCCTTCCTTTTCTGTCCCTTAATCTTTTCCTTTGCATTGTCCAAACCCTAATCCTAATCCGATAGGAAGGGCAAGCATTAATCTGAGACAGTAGTCTTAGAGTTGACATATATGTGCTGGCATAGCTAATCCCAATCTAATCCCTCTTCTAGAAGGGCTGCATTGCATCGTGTGGGACCAACTCGATTCACATGACTTCAAATACAACAATTTGAAAACAGGCAGATGTTTGTCTAAATGACTAATTTGTACACAAACACACCCACACTTTAGACTTGTCAGGTCAGATTTAAGTGCTGATGTGCTGCCACGGTACATCAGCACTTCATTGGCAGGGTTTAGAGCTACACATGCTCTGAAAACAACTTGTCAAAACACATAGCGTAACTAAACATTTCCCAACATGTTGTCTTGGTAATAATAAGAGCAAGGCATTCTGTTCAAGTGCAACAGAGCTTTTCATATCCAAATGTTGTTTAGGGCATCGTAAGAGGATGGTCGTTCCTTTCTTATGGATATCATTGCTTCTTGGCTCTGTGTATTAAAAGAACAACTCTGTACAGTGAAGAATTTTCATAATGTGTCATAAGAGCTTAAAGTGCTTATTCAACAGTTGAGAATTTGAACCAGTAGGAAGGAGGAGTAATCCCCCCTGTGATAACGCCATCAGTAAGTACTTAGTGCTGCACTCTGTAACCATGCGGGTTGACAGTGTCGATGCACAGAGGTTAGCATGCGTGTGCTCCATTTATAGTTCACTTTGAAGACATGTTCACTTCATCAGAAAAGCTGAAATAAAATATGATATAATTGCTAAATATTAGCTTCTTGTCATTTTTTACTTCTGTACCAAAATAATAAGAGAAAAGCGATACTCAAAGTAAAAAAAAACTTTAACACACTTTCACATAACATCTGTGAACGTGACAACGTCTCTAACTGGTTTCATTCTGCTCATGTTCACAGTCTCCTTGATCTGTGACTTATTTTTAGCTCAACATGGGCAGAAACAGATGGCTAACAAGACATCAGACCTCCTTTTAATCACATTTTTTGATTAAGTAATTGCTTTGACACTAATCAGCCTTCACACATTAGCAAAGTTTAACTATAGTTGGTATAATAAAACAACTTCAAAATTGGTCTCCTCGTGATCTTTTTGCTGATTGTTATTTTGTAATTATTAAAGATTCTGTTTGATTTTAAGTGTTTGGAGGAGAAAGAAACCTTTTTTTTCCATTTTAAAACTATTCACTTCATGCAAAAAGCTGGTTTTAATGGTCCCTAGTCATCTTAGACATGAGGGTCTTTGTTTTAGACTTCACATATGGTACCAAACATGACAATTTGAGCTTTGAAGATGCTCAGATTTATCAGTGTTTTCTTTATTTTTTTCCCCCCAATGTAATCAGATTTCGTAAAGCCATTCCATTCGAACCCAGAGGACAAACAGTCACTATGATATTGCAAAGACTGGAAGTTGCATCACCGGCAGTGAAATCCACATGTTGTAACCAGAGATTCCCAGGGGAAAAGGGATAAAGGAAGAAGTGCCCTCTAACCAACCTAGGCAGTAGTGTAGTTAATGTTCATTCTGTGGTCTCCCAGCGCTGTTTGTTGCAGCCGCCCGCCTGCCTGGTACCACTTTGGACCCTGCATTAGGCCCATCCAGTCCCCTCCATATCCCAGTGGCATGACGTTATCACTTTACCTCAGTGTAGCCACTCCACTGAGTCCCTGATGCAAACCATTTTTTTGGGGGGGAATTTCGTCTTAGAACTCAAACTCTGAACAACACTATAGTCAAAACACTTGTATACACGCGTAGCTTGCTTTGCTTTGATTAAATGTCCCTAAATTTGAATCAGTAATCAGCATTAGTCACTCAGGCTCGACCACCTGTGACCCCACCAAGCTCAGACATTGCAGTGCTTTTTTTCCAGTCTTATCCTGCTTTCTCTGTAATGAGGTGTGTGTAACCCCCTATACTCTCTATGCACCCAGTGTCACCTTCATAATCCAAGATTGGGGCTTTAAAGGGGGAGTGGGATATGCAGGACCCTCGGTGGGATTACGCACTGGGCTGTCTGCTGTGCGGTCTGTCGTCTGTCTGCAACACAGAGAGGGCCGAGCAGGAGGATCTTTGCCCTTTAGCTGGTGCTAATCTGGAGTGGAAGGCAGAGCACCGTCTGAGCTGTCCTCAGGGCCAGACAGTTACATTTATCTGTACATGTGTGTGTCATTGATAAGGATATTTTTAAATACAAGCCTCTGAGTATAGGACACTTTCTTCTGGACATAGCAGAAACAAGCTCACATCATATCTAATATAGTTATCTAGTCGAACATCTTTTATTATGACTGTGGACAAGGATAAAAAGGGGTAGAGTGCATGACTCAAGGACTTGTTGCCTTCTAACAGAGATCTTACAATGAAAATGAACCAGGGACAATTACATCTGTGCCTTGAGCATCTGAGAAACACTTTACACTGACATCATTGCTTTCGGGGATTTAATGTGATTTTGCAATTAATTGGTTCGTTAAACTTCTGCTCCTGGGATTAAACCAAAATTAAAGCAATGCCGGAATGACTCAGGAAATTTCCCAAGACGGCCCCTTCAACACAGTCTGTTTATCTGCCATCCATACAAACACATCACTTATCT